CCTCAGGGTGGTTTGCTGCGACGGCTCTCGCTGCGTGGACCTCCACCGACAAAAGAATTTAATCTTGGAAATACACCTGGTCGCGGAATGAGTATGGACGGACCATTTCCTCCCGCAGAGGCCGAAGGCAGCTATTTCCCTGCTCCCGACTCAGAATTTCACCCGGGCCCCTTCCACCGTCGCCCTACGACGTTAAGCCAAAAGGCAGCCAAGAAAGCTGCAAAAAGGGGCGACGACGGGGTAGGCGCATATGTGAATCTCGAAAAAGGTCTAGCTATCACGCTCAACCTGGAGCTCAACCCACAAGATCCATCAGGCATCACGACGCCGTACAAGCTTCTTGTGCCCATGCTGCGTTATGAAGGCACTGAATACGATCCACCGGCCAACCCAGTTGCCAAAGGTTGGAAGAAATGGTTGGCTGTAGGGCGTAAGAAAGAGCGTGGCTTCGCCAAAGATCTCCCTGGCGATGTGGAGGATACTGATTACGATGATGACCCAGACTATGAAGAAGGCTATGCGGGAAGTGATCTCGATGAGCCTGTTGACAGGCTGCCGGAGGAAATGGGCCGCATGGGTCATGTAGTAGCACCGGGGCGAGTCAATGATGGGCCGGAGGAGACTATCAAGCGGAAGAAGAAGTGGTTTGGACGATTGGTATGAACTTACGATGACCTTTTATGATTCTTGATGCTTGAATGCCTAATGAAGTTTCACGTCTGACGTGTACTCCCTAAACTTGGGTTTGTTTTGTACATAATTGGTTGTCCCACGCAAGGTCCTGAAGGACCTCATTTGATGGTAATCAAGGCACCATGTTATCATCCACGACGTGCGGTTATGAAGACATGCTTAGGTAATGAGGTGGATCGGATCAGATATCCAGACGCTTCGAGAAGCCGAGACAGCCAGTAACAGGCCCGGTACTCCGTGTGTGTCTGGATGATCTTGGGAGACTGAAAATGAAATCGAATCGGCTATCAGAGCTATGCCATAGATCAGCCGTGTACCTCTCCAGGCTATAGCAGTATTCTTCCTGCAAATCAGATGGTGATGGTGGTGGTGATGATGATGAAAGGTCTCGGCCAGTTCGCTTTCTAAGCATGGGCACGTGACCTGGTCTCGCCGGGGATTGATTCCTAAGAATCGACGCTCTGGATGGGCTCAAGCAGGGGCAGACTTTCGGTCGCCGAGAGATTATCAACAGTGTCTTGCGAGTAATTACCAAAAGCTTCTATCAGGCAGACTAAGAATTCCTCTGTTATTATCAATCAAATCCGTTGATCCACTTTTTGTGCCATCCCCACCATAAAAGAAACTGCATAACCAACCGCATAAGAATCGCCATCCCATCACTAATACCGACCAGACCAGATTTCGATCCTTGAGCCCCTCTTCTCTCTTTCGCCATTTATCGTTCACTTTCTTCACCTCCGATCAATTCCTGATTTTTGAGTTGGCTTAAGACTTCCCCTTTTGCACCCCCCTTTCCCCGACACTCTCTGTTTAGTTCCTCGCAAAAACCGTCAAACTGTTTTCCTTCGCCTTTCGTCGGATTTCCTCGTCTCTGCGATCCTCTCTTGGACTGACTGCCGCTGCCGCGTCCTCACTGCATCAAAAGTCTTCCCCGCCTGCGTCGGTTCTATCTAATTCGCTATCGACGCCGTTGCGCGTCAATTCAACCTCCTCTTCCAGAATGGTGCACACAAAAGTTGTCAGTAAGTATCTACCCCTCCTGCAACCCAAAGATCCTCAATAGTCTGCTTTGTTGGTTGTACCCGTTACTGACGTAGTGTCCTTGAATAGTTATCGGCTCCGGCCCCGCTGCCCACACCGCTGCTATCTATCTTTCGAGAGCGGAACTCAAACCCGTTCTCTATGAGGGTATGCTGGCCAATGGCACGGCCGCTGGCGGTCAGCTCACCACTACCACCGACATCGAGAACTTCCCCGGGTTCCCCGATGGCATTGGTGGCGCGGAGCTGATGGAGAACATGCGCAAGCAGTCCATCCGGTTCGGCACAGAGGTGATCACCGAGACTATCTCCAGAGTCGACCTGTCCTCGAGACCTTTCAAGCTATGGACAGAATGGAACGATGGCCCTGATAAGGAGCCCGCTTGTACTGCGGATGCCGTCGTCATTGCCACCGGTGCCAATGCTCGTCGTCTTAACTTGCCTGGCGAAGAGACCTACTGGCAGAATGGAATCAGCGCCTGCGCCGTCTGTGATGGTGCGGTGCCCATTTTCCGCAACAAGCCCCTGTACGTGATCGGTGGTGGTGACTCGGCTGCCGAAGAGGCCATGTTCCTGGCCAAGTACGGCAGCAGCGTTACCGTGCTCGTCCGTCGTGACAAACTTCGCGCCAGCAAGGCGATGGCCCACCGTCTGCTGGCCCACCCCAAGGTGACCGTCCGCTTCAACACCGTTGCCACCGAGGTACTGGGGGAGAAGAAGCCCAACGGCCTGATGACTCACTTGAGAGTCAAGAACACCGTTACCGGCGAGGAGGAGGTTGTCGACGCCAACGGTCTTTTCTATGCTGTCGGTCACGACCCCGCCACCGCCCTCGTTAAGGGTCAAATCGACCTCGATGAGGATGGATACATCATCACCAAGCCAGGCACCAGCTACACCAGCCGCGAGGGTGTGTTTGCTTGTGGTGACGTGCAGGATAAGCGTTACCGCCAGGCTATCACTAGTGCCGGTTTGTAACCACCGATTTCCAGGATCTGCTTGATTGTAATACTAACTGCCCTTCGTCAGGATCCGGTTGCATTGCTGCTCTCGAGGCCGAAAAGTTCATTGCTGAGGGCGAGGGCCACGAGGAAGCGCCCGCCGCCGTATCCGCCGAGAAGTCCGTCGATAAGTCCGCTGTCCAGCCCGCCGCTCAGGAGGTCAACGGCGATGTCGAGAAGGACCCCAAAGGCGCCGTTCCAGAATACAAGTCGAACCCTCTTCTTTAAATGAATCGTCGCATCTTCACTATCCTGCCATCGCATTCTTCTCGCCGCCTTCTCCACGCCTCGCCGCCTCTCATTGTACACCCTCCCTGCCCGTCTGCCTCGACATATTATCTTGATATCTCCTTCCTATGACCCTCATGGACGCGTTGGTTCTCGCCACTAGACTTCAGCGTTTGTTGCAATTTTCCTAATGACTCCTTTTTTTTGTCCCACAATCTACGGGACTCTCTCCGGGATTAGATGAGATCGTTTCTGGGAATCTACTTCTACACATAGAATAGACATAGAATTAATCCCAAAGCTGGAATTCAGGCTTAGATTTCGGTATATCGTGTGCATGGGACGACCCGATGGATATCAATATAATCCTGCTTGAGCAATGATGACTAGTATCAATTCTGTCGGCAGCGGTCTAGAAGTATACTTTTGTTACATAGCTAAAACGCTGTCTCAGTATTAGTTGCAAGAATCAGACCATATTTAGCACATTTCCAGCGCCAGCCCCTCCATACCCATGTCCCCTTAACATTAGAAAGATAAACTGTACTCATACTCGAGTCTAGGCATCACCTCTTCGCCGGCGGCTGCCACGTCTCGAACGGATTCGCCGCGCACCACCGCTCCTTGACCTCGTGCGACTTCCTTTCCCACTCCTTCGTATTCTGCTTCCATTGATCACAGATCTCCGTGTTGGTCTGCCGGTTTACCTCCGTCTGTTCGATATACGGCCGTTTTTCCTCCTCGCCGGCCTGCCGCCACATGAGGCCCAATGCCTGTCGGATTTCGTCGCGCGCCGCTTTGGCATTCGGGTCCTTGGTTGTGGCCTGTTTGGCTTCGTCGCATTGGGCGCGGGCTTTACCCCAGTAGTCCTTCTGATAGAGGAGGAAAGGGTTGAGGCCTGTTCGCGCCGGTCGGGGTTCGGGTGGGCCGAGCTCGGCGTGGATGGCTGCCCACATGGCTTGTTCGTAGGCCTGTCGAAGAGCCGTGTCGCCGGAGAAGGAGTTGTTTGATCGTGCAGGCGCCGATGCGTCGGTTGGATCTGCTGATACGGAAACGGGGCCGGGGAAACCGTTGGAGAAATGTGGTTCGTTTTTCCTTTGCCCCGTTGCTACTGGTGTGCCCAGTTCGATCGTCTTGCCTTTTTCGGGTACCAATGGGTTCGGGACCTCTATAGGTCCGAGGACGGACTCAATGATCTCTGATGCAGCTCGCAGACCGGAAAGATAGGCGCCGTGAACGGTGGCCGGATGGGTGCCGCACGTGGCCTCTCCTGCGAAGTGTAGGTTGCCAATCGGCTTTGCCATCAAGTCATAGTCACCCGGCAGCGCCTGCGCAGCTACGTAGGAGTAGCTTCCCCGAGTGAATCTGTCAGTTGCCCACCGCGTGATGATTGTCTCTAATGGATCAGGCACCGCGACGTGCTTGAAGACATTCCGAAGCTGACTCGTTACCTCTGCAATGATCTCCCCGTCAGGTGTGCACTCCGCCTGATGGGCTGCGTCGCCAGCCATCAGGGCGATCAGAACTGGGAGGCCCGTTGTTTTCATGCAGTTCCAGAAAAGGTAGAACCGGCCTCGGTTGGCAGCATAGTCCTCCTGCACCATGCTGTCTCGATTCTTGGGTTCCCGTAGTAGCCCAAACATATCTCGCTCCGTATCCCAGAAGGGTTCCTCGAATACGAGTATCACTTTGTTCATGACCCCGAAACCGAGCCTTTCTATAGCTCCACGCTTCCAATCAGGAAGGGGCGGCGAGAATTCAATAGAGTCATGCTTCAAGACACCAAGTGACCCCGTGAAGACGACTTTATCTGCAACGAACGATTCGCCGTCTTCACAATGAACCACAGTTTTCCGCTTCCCCGAGCCCGTAGAATCATAGGCGACCTTGCTCACGATCTTGTTCGTTCGAACATCGAGTTTCGTGGGCAAGGACCACAAGCCATATGGTACCTGTTGATAGCCGCCGATGACTTGTGAATGCTCGCCTTCGAATTCGTTGCCCAAATCCTGGTCCCAGCCGGAAAGACTGAGTTTGCCGATATTGGTAGCGTTCGCGTATTCCAGGTTTGCAAAATGCCAGTTGATCAGTCGCATATCTTTGGGTGTAAGAGGAAGCATGCGTTGATATTGTTTGACCCCTTCGTCCATTACGGCGCCCAGAGTTGGCGACCCTGAAGCTTTGGCAACAGGATCTAGGTTCAGAGATGCTGTTGGAGAGACACCATCCTTCAGCTTCCATCCCATGGCTTGACAAGCAAGAGCTGCCGGCTGCTCTTCTGCGGGACCAAGATCGGTCGGCACAGGGGGCACGGTTGCTCTTATGTCCGCTGTTTTGTGGCCCACACCTCGTCGGACCTTTTTATTGGGGAACAAAAGTCCAACGGTACCTGCGGCGCGAGCCTCTTCGTACTGTCTTACGGTGAGACCGTCGCTCATTGTCAAATCTCGGCCCGAATCTATCAATCCCCTATCTCCTTCGGCGGTAGGTACAATAACAGCATTGTGACGGTAGAGTCCGGAGCGGTCAAGAACATCGATATACAGCCGTTCATCCATCGCGTCCTGAACTTCATCGACTGCCGAGCCGTCGATATCGTAGATAGTCGATATATCACGTAGCAAGTGATAGGGTAGCGCCAACTGTCCCCGAATTATCTGGTCTAATGGATTTCCGTGATCGAAACCGACGACGATTT